ATTCAAATTTTTTATTTAGAATATCTATATTACGTCGCAAAAATTTAAATCTTTCTGAACTTAACGGTTTGTAAAAATATCCGCTAACTGATTTTTTATTCGCACATATTTTACACTTAACACATTGTTTTCATGCAAGTCACGCACGTAGTGATATTTAACATCTATAAGTGTAGCAAACCTTACATTTTCTTTCGTCATAGCGCTGACATAGTTAACCTCAGTAGTGGAAAGCGCTACACTTCAATGTTTGGTCAACTGATCGCATCTTTGCGTAATAAATTTATTTGATTAAAAATTTATTTGGTTAATGATCCAAATAAATTTTGCTACATTTGTGGTAAATACACTCTTGAAAAACAAAGGCGGCCATTAACGGAACAATTGAAAATAAATTACCGTAACTATTTTGACAGAGAAATTGGCAATCAAGATAAAAAATAGGTCTCCTATTCATTTTGCAATACTTGTGTTTGGACTCTCTTTTTATAAAAGCGTAGAATAAAAATAATGTCTTTTGCAATCCTTATGTCATGGAAAGATCCTCAGTCTTATGATAACTGCTATTTGTGTCATCGCAAATTGCAAGGATTTAATGCTAACAACAAGAAAAGTATTCAATATACTAATGTATCGTCAGTAATAAAATTTTCCATTAACCTGAATATCCTATACTATTGCCAGTAATAAAATCTGATGATATTCATGATGTCGAATATATGGAAGATGAACCTGAATTTGTTGATATACAAGTTGATGAAAAGCCATCTCTTTATCTCAAAGTGATTTAAACGATTTGGTTCGAGATTTGTCACTGAGTAAAAACAATGCTGAAATTCTAGGTTCTCGTTTAAAAGAAAAAAATTTATTTGCATTAGGAATAACGTTGGTACAGAAATAAAGAAAAAGAATTCCTTCTATAACAAAATAAACGAGAAATTGCCTCAGGTTCAGACTTGGTATATCCAATATGAAGTTAATGAAAAAAGGCTTTGCTGAACTTATATGCAGTTTGGTTTGCAAATGACTCAAACAAAAACATGGGTAATTATTGAGTATAGGAGATTAAGGTCCGATGACCTTGATTTTGATATATGTTGTAAAGGGCACTTTCCTGAGTAGTGTTCAAGAGGTTTTAGACGGCGCTCATTTTTTATTAAAAAAATATTAATCGAGAATGTTTGAAAAACGCGACTTTTATTTTCCTAAATAACATGTAGAATAATGAATCGAAATACACATTTGCTCTCAGGTATCAGTTCTTAGAAGACATTCAGAGTTACTGATACAATTATACACATTTATAAAGACCGGCCCAGTGGTCTCGCGGCCTGAGTGCAGGGGCTGCGAACCCGGAGGTCTCGAGTTCGAATCCACTTATCACCTAAGGATTTTTTCGCGGGTCGATCCCTTTCAACCGAGTTTATCGGCGAACTAAATCAAGCTAAAAATTAATTCGGATGTAATCACAAATTATTTCCTCTCCCACAAGGCGATCACAAGTCACAACATCTCGAGCACGAGCCCGACACAGATAGGCACGCCTACTGCGAAAGACGGCCGTGTATCGCGTGGTAGCAGAATACTGCACAATCCCCCCGTTACGTTCAAAAAAATAAAATATACTAGTAAAATGGCGTATGGGCACTGATGGTCCCCTAGCTGTTACCAAACCAAACCAAATCTACACATTTATAAGTGGTATTCTTCTTCTTTGCTTATATGGCTCACGCCCCTGCGAGAGAGGAGCAAACGCCAGTCTATCGATACATTCTCAGAACGAATGTGGGGGGGGATGTGCAGTTTTTTTTTTTTTTTTTACCTATTACCACGCGATACACGGCCGTCTTCCACAGTGAGCGTGCCCATCTATGTCGGGCTCGTGCTCAAGATGGTATGACTACGATCGCCTTGTGGGAGGGAAGTTAATTCGGGATTACACCCGAATTAATTTTTGGAGGCCCGATTCAGTTCGCCAATCAACCGATAAACTCGGTTGAAAGGGACCGGCCCGGAAAAAAATCCTTAGGTGGTGAGCGGATTCGAACTCGGGACCTCCAGGTTCGCAGCCCCTGCACTCAGGCCGCGAGACCACTGGGCCGGTCTATAAGTGGTATTGTTGACTGTTACTCAGTTTATGTTTTGAAGCGTGACATAGCTTATCTATCATTCCGAGCAAAGTTCGACATATGTGCGAAATCATTGTAAAAGGCGAATAACTTTTGATATGATGTTCCATGAATTTTTCTATATATGACAAAATTATTCTCAATTAATATCAATCAGTGACTACTTTTTTTTATGTTCTTCTTGTTCGTGTTGTAAGCATGTAGGCAGGGGTGGCGCCTCTCTGCAGGGGAGGGGCTACGCCCCTCTACCTGCACCCCTTTGAGCTACGATGCTTCATTACTAAAACTTTTTCTTAATAACTTTTTAAACTTTTAAACTCTCTTGGTATTTGGTTTCTCAAAAAAATCACGTACGCAAAACATGATAAGCTCAGAGGAATGCAAGTGGAGAGGCCCTCCCCTGCAGGGAGCGCAGTCCCCCCTGCCTACACGATTATAATACGAACGAAATGTACAGACGGCGTCATTAATTCGAAGAATAGGCGCGGGGATCACATAAAAAGTCCAGTTGATCCAAATATCCATTAGTACCAAAATCGGGTGTCCAGTTGTGGACCCCGATTGCTACTAGTTAGTTAGTACGGCGCCCGTTGGCGCTACGAACAACCGCCCCGCTTGCCCTCCGATCCCCGCGCCTATTCTTCGAATTAATGACGCCGTCTGTACGTGGGACTGAAAAATAAGAATTCATTCATGAAACTTCTTTCCCTTGTAACTTTAACAAACAACGACCCCCGCCTAAAACCTCCACATTATTACTCGGGACAATGACCTTAACAACATATGTACAAATTATTCAAATCGGAGGTGGCTCTTCTTTTCTACATAATTACCGAAATTACACCTCTAAATTGTTTTCGACGGTCATTTTTCTGATCATATTTTTCAAGAATATTTTTTAAATAAAAAATGAGCGCCGCCTAAAACGTCTTGAACACTACTCAGGAGAGTGCCCTTTACAAAATATATCTAAATCAAGGTCATCGGACCTTAATCCTCTATACTCAATAATTACCCTATCGATTTGGGGCCGATACGCTGGAGCGCGTTAGGGTCGCGTGGGGTAGATCGGATTAGCCAATCAGGCGGCAGAGAGTGCTAAGCACGGCGCGTAAGCTTGCGCTAGGCAGCAGAATTAACGGCCGCGAAATTGTTTTTGTCTTTTCCAATTTTAACATGCCTCCAACTACTTGCACGATTTTCGGCCGTTTTCTTCATACCTCTCTCGATAGCTATTCTCTTTCCATAAATTCCTCTGAGAACCAATAAGGAGAACCAATTTTGGGAGATATCTTCTAGATAAAGTTATCGAAAACTTATCTAGAAGTGAAAAAATTGACTGTTTGTCAGTTTATATGACACACAGTATCATCTCTGATGATTTCTTTACTTTATGCCCTAAGTTTTCCTTAGCTTAGCTTACATAGAATGGCGTATGGACTAGCTGTAACCGGTCCGCTAAGCTAATATTGCACCAAACCAAACCTTAGCCTAGCCTATCTTGTTTTGTACCACCTCCATTACTCCACATTGTTTAGATTTTTCAATCTTTTGAATGAATCGATAGAATCAGTATACTTTTAAATTAATCTTACTAATTCATTTCTTAATACTGTATGGATGATTAACATTGAATTTTTCCAGTAATGTGTACAATTACTTAATTACATTAGTATGTATACTACTCATAAAGCATCGAAAGATTGCAAAAACATTGCGTAAATCTTACGTTGAACCTCATTAATACATACGTTGAACTTCGGTGAAACATTATAATATTGTATAGTAAGAGCGAAATGTTTCTGTAATGTACTGCAAACTTTCGGCAATGTTGATTCGGAAATGTTCGCCTTCAGGAATATTACAATGTAAGACTACAATAATGTTCTCTATAAGCACACAATATTCTTAGAATATTCTAGAATATTCTATGAATATTAATAGTACGTTTAATATTCCAAAAATGCGCTCAGAATATTACTTGATATGAAATAATATTATGCGCTTATAGGGTTATAGCGCAGTGTATTTATAAAATTAAAAAGCATTGCTATAAATATGCAAAATAGTTCAAATTTAATAGGTAAACTTTGAAAATATATAAATACATCTAAAATAGATGAGAATAAACTCGTTGGAAAATTGTGTAAGTTCATAATATTTGCACCCGAATCTTAAATATCCAAATGTAAAAATATTGTAAATTTACGCAAGCGTAAGATTTTGTTTTTATCTGTCTTGGATGTCTTTATTTACAAAGTTTAACTATTCAGATTTAAAGAGTCTTGCATATTACACAATTAAATTGTTGATTTTATATAAAAATAAAAACTAGTAAACAATTTTCTGTTACCCAATTAACATCACTATTTCAATTTACTATATTTCGTCTACTCGTACATTAATATATACACTACCGCCAAAAAGTTTTGCAACACTTTTCAAAAATCAGTTTTCCGCGAAGTTTTGGTATATATAAGTCAAAAAGAATATGGAAATAAATGTAATTATAAATTAATGTAATTATAAATTATTACTCCTATTTTTTACTTAATCAAGTGGACATTTTATTTTCTAGACATGTGATTTATAACTCTTCATTCTTAAATAAAAAAAACATGTAAAAGTAGCGAACAAAAGAGTTGGCTTAAAATATGTAAATAAAATAAAATATTTGAGTAGGCTAGGAAAAGTTGACGTTTTTGTACCATTATAAGTATTGTCTGATAAAGGAACTTTCGCACATTGGTAGTGTTTCGTGTAAATAATTTAGTTTAGTTTGATATTTGGTTTCAACAAGACAGTATTTATAGGGTATCCATCAAAAAATATTAAAATGGGGCAAAGCAAAATTCTATAGATATCTGAAATATGGTTATTGGTCAACATCAAGCAGGTGTAGGCATCTGGAAAATAGCTAAATCACTAAAGGTAGAGCCGTTTACAATATCTAGAATTATTAAAAAATTTAAGGATACTGGAACTGTCGCGGACAGAAAACGATCCGGGCGACCTAGAAAGACGACTGAAGCTGAAGATAGACAAATAGTAATCATCAGTAAACACAACAGACGTTTTCCAGAAATTGCTACTGAAATCAATCGTGGCCGAAAGGATCCAGTGTGTGTTTTAACTGTAAAAAGCAGACTTAACAAAGCCGATTTATACAGAAGAATAGCTGTGAAAAAATCTTTGCTTCGGTCAAAATAAGAAAAAGACTAGAGTGGGCCAAACAGTATAGGCACTGGACAATCAGTGACTGAAATAAGGTGCTTTGGTCGGATGAGTCGAAGTTTGAAATTGTTGGCTCAAAGCGACGGGTCTTTGTTTAAGGCGCTCAGCCGGAGAAAGAGTATCTGACCAGTGTGTGATATCTTCAGTCAAGCACAGTGGCGGTTCAGTGATGGTAGAGGGCTGTTTTGGTAATAATTCATTAGGAGATCTGAAAAGAACTGAAAGGAAACTTGTTAAAGAAAGCTATAAGTCTATTTTACAGAGACACGCTATTCCATCTGAAAGGAGAATTATTGGCAGATGTTTTGTTTTTCAACAAGACAACGATCCGAAACACACGTCGAAACTCTGCCAAAATTATTTGCAACAAAAAAAGCGAGCATGAGAGCTCAAAATTATAGTTTGGCCCACTTGATCGCTCGATTTGAACCCCATTGAGCTTTTATGGGACGAGCTTGACCAAAAAGTACGAAAGACATGCCCTACATCGCAAACTGATCTCTGGTCGAAAACTACTACAAGAAAAACTACTAGAAGAATGGCAGAAAATACAACCAGAAACGCTGCAGAAATTAATCGCAAGAATGCCCCGATTGTGTGAAGAAATAATAAAAAAAAGAGGTGGCCATATTGATGAGTCTGCCATTTAAATTAAAAATATGTTTTGATTTCTTGTTAATTATTTTTAGTAGTCTATAAATAAATACAACTTTTCTTAAAAAGCTTATTACATTTCTTTTATTATTGCAGAAGCTATTGGAGCTTAAAATGGTTTTTGAAGGGTGTTAAACTTTTGGCGGTAGTGTATAACACTTTATATTAATATGTAATTATATAATTATATAATCTCTGTATATAATCTCTGATAAGTATATACATATATTTTTTAGTAATACTATTTAAAATATATTAACGGTACTTATATTTTTAATTTAAAGAAATACAAAAAATGTCAAGTATCTATAAAGTTACATTCTTAACTCTTCGTGAACGGACTTTGAAAATGACAAATGTTATTGGTCAGACTGGATTTATGAGACCCACGCGACTTTAAAATCAAATATTTTTGCGAAGAAATATTTTTTCAATTTTGTTTTTTTGAATCGAAAGTTCGGACAATTTTGCGTCAATTAAATAAAAACAAAGTGAAAAAATTTATAGTCAAAAATTTCTACCTATAAAGATATAAACGTTTAAAAAACTCCTAAGTTTTACTAGAAACGCAATTTTTAAGTGGATTTGGAAAACTCATGTTCAGAACGGTTACTTAAAGTGAACTGTTTTTTTACAGGTTATTCATAAGAGTTTGAGAAAATTACACAAGACTATTGCGTAAACAACTGATATTTTCAACAAACGAACTCGGAATAGTATATCAATACAACTTTTCCCGGTGTAGAGATAGAACTTGCTGTAATTGAAGATAATAAAATTTGTAACAATAACGATCAATACGAATCTTCTTTGGAACTCATTTTTGAGGAAGAATTATTCCTGGTTTGGTGATGCAATGTCTTTAGAAACAAATAGCGATTATTTAGCAGTACACAAAAATTTCCAACATTTAATATAATTTAAGAGTAAACAAAGACATAATATATATATTCAAAATTTACACATAACAATCCATAAAAACCTCACTGCATATATTTCTGTCAGGAAGAGAACTGTTTTTATATGCGGAATACAGAAATAAGACTTACAGATAACACGACACAACTTTCCTTTTGCGCTAACATAAAAAGATTTTTATATAAGATAAATAAGAATACGAAAAGAAATATGTATATGTATATGTGTGCGTTTTTTTTTTATACTTTCTAAAAGTATAATCTTAAATTTTATGAAGTGGTTTAGTAAACGATGTATAAAAAAAATATAATAAATAATATATATAAAATATATTATAAAAATAGGGGACTTGGTTAGTGGTGTGCAAGCTGAGCGGATGCGTGTGAGCAAGCGGCGAGCTAATTTGAGTGCATGTGAGAGGAGTGAGAGAGGCGAAGGGAAGAAGGGCAGGAGAGGGGGAGGAGTAAGCGGAGGAAAAGGTAATAAACAGAAGGTAGGGAAAAAGGGCATAGGAGAGTAGAAAATAAGGTGGAAAAGAGAAATTGAGAGAAGGAGGTTAGGGCGGAAAGGTAGAAGAAGTGGACGGAAGAGCTAGTTCGGGAAGGTGGAGTTGGAACAGGGGGCGCGGGGAACAGGCAAAGGCTAGGGAGATCTGGAGAATTGAGATTGTGATAGGATAGGGCAAGAAAAAAGCAGATGGACAAGGCAGAAGAAGAACTGCACACACCGTGCGGTAAGAGGGAAGGAACGAGGAAAGAAAGAACGAACTCGATGTCCGTAATAGAACTATAGAGAGCGAAGGCGGAAAAGAAGAGGAGAAGAATCGAGGAGGAAGAGAGGATGGATGATATTTTCAAGAAGAGCAACAAATTAACGAGGACACCGCCCAGCAAAGAGGAAAAAGGAAAAGGTGAAGAGGAGGAGCGGGATGCGAAAGGGAGCTTAAGATCGGAAGCAGGAAGTGAGTTAAGATAGATACTCAGTGAAATAAGAGAGATGAGAAGAGAAATTGAGAAAGGTAGAAGTGAAGCAAGAGAGGAAATTAGAAACCTGGAGAAGGAAATAAGCAAAATAGAAGAGAGAAGGATGATCAGAGAATCGGAATTCGAAAAGAGGATGGAAAAATTAGAAAGTAAGATGGTGGAATGGGAGAGAAAGGAAAGAAGAAGAGAAGTGAGAGAGGCGGATGAAGAACTGAGAGCAAAAGAAGAAAAAGGAAGGGAAAAAGTAACACAAAAAGAAGAAAAGTCTATAGTAGAGACAAAAAGAGAGGTGGATAAAATAAAGAAAAGGTTGGAAGAGAGGGAGAAACAAGAACGGAAAAACAGATCAGTAATAAAGGGGCTGGAAAAGGCAGAGGGAATATGCAGGACCTTGTGAGAGAATTTATAGAAGAAAATTTTAAGGTAGCAAAGAAAATCAAAGAAGTTATGATAGTAGAAAAAGAAAAAAGAAGAGTAGTTGTAGTAGAATTGATGGACTGGGAGGCGAAACAAGAAATAATGAAGGGAAAATATAAATTGAGAGGAGAGAAAGTGTTCATAGATCACGACTTGTCGATTGAAGAAAGGATGATACAAAGGAAAATTACGGAGAGAGCGAGAGAGGAAAAATTAAAAGGAAGAAAAGTGAAAATAGGATACAGGAAAATGTTTGTAGAGGGGAAATAATTTATATGGAAGGATGAAGAAGAGAAGCTAGTGGAAGAAAATTTTTAGAAAAGAGCCAAGGGGAGAGGAGCGGAACGAAGGGGAAGGAAGTAGAGGGAAAGAACGAGGAGGTGAAGAAGGAGGAGAAAAAGGAAGGAGGTAAAGAAAAGATGAAGATGAATTTCTAGAACACGGCAGGTATAAAGAAGAAAGAGAGACTTTTGGAGTTATATAGAGGAGTTCGACGTGATAGGGCTAAGCGAGACGTGGATAGAGGAGAGGGAGTGGGAAAGATTAGAAAAGAACTTATCAAGAGAACATAGGTGAAAATGTCAATTTGCGGAAAAAGATAGGAAAAAGGGAAGAGCGAAAGGGGGGATAATCACGGGAGTTAGGAGGGAATTGGAGGAGTTAGAGGGATTAGAAAGTAATGTAAACGGAGTGCAAGAGAGAAGGTTAAAGATAAGAGGGGAAGTATGGAGGATCGTAAGGACTTACAATAGAGGAAAAATGAAAGATTTAAGGAAAGACATAGAAGGGAGGATAGGAGAATTAGAAGAGGAGGTTTTAGTAATAGGAGAGGATTTCAATGCAAGAATTGGGGAGGAGAGCAAGAAATGGGATGGAGAAGAAAGGGAAATAAAAAGGAAATCGAAAGATAAAGTGATCAATACAGAAGGAAGAGAAATGCTACGAATGATAGAGGACAGAGGATGGGAGATAGGAAACGGAAATATAACAGCAGATGAAGAGGGAGAATGGACATACATAAGTGGAAGAGGAGCATCGGTAATAAATTATATAATATTAAATCCAAACGCAATAGGAAGAATAGAAAGGATGAAAATTGGTGCAAGAACAGAATCGGACCACCAACCACTAGAGCTGACGATGGAAGAGGAGAGAGGGGGAAGAGAAGAAGAGACTAACAGAAAATACACAGAGGTAGTACAATGGGACGAAGAGAGTATCAGGAAATATCAGAAAAACAGTAGGGGAATAGAAGTTAAGGGAAAATGTATAGAAGAAGTATGGAAGAACCTGAAAGAAGGGGCAGAGAGGTGTGTAGTTAAAAAGAAAGTGAGGATGAGAAGGAGGAAAGTGGGTGAGAAGAGCTGGTGGGACAAGGAATGTAAGAGATCCAAGAGAGAGGTAAAGAAGGCATATAAAAGCTGGAGAGAAGATAGGACGAGGAGAGAAGAATATGTGATGCTAAGGAGGGAATTCAGAACATTATGTAAAGAAAAAGAAGAGGAGAAGAGGAGAAAATTCGAAGCGGAAGTGGAAAATCTAAAAACAGAGAAGCAGATCTGGAAAATGATAAACAAAGAAAGGAAAGAAACAAAGTTTATTGATGAGACAATTTGGATGAAGGTATGGGAAAAATATTTCATTTAGCTGTTGGAAGGGAAAAGGGAGAAGGAGGAGGAAGGAGAGAAGAATTCAAAGACAGAGAAAAGAGAAAAAGATCAAGTGGAAGAGTTAAAAGACGAGGAGATAGATGGGCAGATAAGGAAGTTGAAAAGAAGGAAAGCAGCAGGAGAAGACGACATCGCAAGCAAAGCATGGATTTATAGTGAGGGAAAAATAAGGTCGAAGTTGAAGGAATTAATAAAGAGAGTGTGGAGCGGGGACGGTTTCCCGGAAGACTGGAGGAGAGGAGTGATCACGCCTATTTACAAAAAAGGAGAGAGAGGAAGAGTAGAAAACTACAGAGGAGTCACTCTATTGAGTACGGCATATAAGATTTATGCT